CTGCTGAAATACAAACTACCAAATATCTGCTAGAATGCATAACTAAAACATGAGAAATATCTGGTGCAGAAATACATGCTCAATTTATGCTTGCATGCATGCCTTCATCACCGCTTAAAGCAAGAATCAGCAATGCGGAAATCAAGAAAATTTCACTGACAAGATATATATTCGTGCCCGGGACAGAGGGCCAGACCTGATGAACTGTTTAGGTCCCTTCTGACCCTGGAGTACTATGATACTAAAGAAAAACTAAGTTTATCTACAGTTGGAAACCATTAAAACAGCCTAAAGCAGATTCTGGATGTAGACTCACAGCCTCAGAGCAAAGCTAGCTTCCTCAACAGACCATATATATTTCTTCATAATTCTACAATAACATAATCCAGCTCTGAGACTGAAAGACTGCTATGATTGGAGCTGGACATACCCTTCTGCTGTTTCCAAAAGCATTGACTTGCCCCCTTCTACTTCCCAGGCCTAGCACTCAGGTATCATTAACATTTGCAGTGCTTGGAATGGCTTGTTGGTCCACACTACTGTGGAAACACAGGAGGATACAGCTAATTAGATTGCAAAAAGGGGAGAAAACAATTGGAATTACCTCTTGACGTAGCCCATGTTGGCCTCGTGGTTGTGCTGGTTGCATAAGCACCTATTAAAGGAAGACAGAACAAAATGCAAGTGAGAAACAACTGTATTATGGAGATAGTGTCATTAAGGTGAAAAAGGAATCAGAAAATCAATCTGGTGTAGTGTACAAAAAAAAAAGTGAGACAATTAAGATCAATGTCAGCTGTGCTGACACCCTAATTTAACTTGAAGTGAAGACAGGGAAGGCAGAAGTTCGGATCTTGATTGGCAGAGAGGAAGTGTATCTCAATGACAAGGTTTCCACCATCAGTTACACACTCACTTCCCTGTTGTGATACAACACATGGAAAGTGAAAATCTCCACCTACTCTCAACAACTCTTCTCCTTCAGCAAGAGCAGCACACAAAACGATACTGCTACACAAACATGGCAAAGCCTATTTTTGGCATAAATCTTAACTGGGAGTGAATGAAAAGTGCTCTCAGGAGCTAGAATGCTAACTCATAAAGGAGAACATAGGAAAAGATTCTAAAATAAAAATAGGAATATAGGAATATTCTAAAATAAAAAACAGAGGTTACCTGAACAGATGACACCAGCATCTTCACTATGTCCACAGTTATGGCTTCCCCAGCCCTGGTGAGGGCATTGCCAGAGATAGCACTCATTTCCTCTGCACTGCACATCATCCAGGTGAATATACCCAGAGCCTTGACCAAAGTAGGCACTTTGCGGGGATGAAATGGCGGAGCCACATCCAAGCTGCCTGCACACAACCTCAGCATCGCTGAAATCCCAGGAATCATCACAAACCGTCCCCCAGGCTCCATTGTAACTGATTTCTACACGGCCCTCGCAACTGTTCCTTCCATTCACCAGTCGGATGGTTATTCCTTCAAAAGCACAGAAAGCAATATTTAATCTTATCACAAGCCCTCACAGTCACTTACATGTTGGCATCTTCTTACCCCTGGTATTATCACTTTCTCTTAAACACATCTGAAGTGCCCTAGGATATCCAACGGGGTATACCTTCCTGGTGAGACACCGCGGGCCCCAGAATTATAAATTCTCATTGTTTCTACAACCATATCCCAAACCTGACACATTAAGGCTTGGCAGTTGTAGTAAAGTCTTTTTGTGAGCAATCAGTGAAGACTATAGATTATAAATATAACTAATGTAAGCAAAACTACTGAGAATTACCTGTGGTAGGTGCCCATGGGTCAGAAGTGCCTGTAGTATGACGACCTGATAAAAGAGAAGAGAGCAACATTCAGTTTTATTTTAGAGGAACGTACCTTGGTGCTCAACACTGAATCCATTAAGGGAAAGCAAAAAATGGCTATGCTCTGCATACATCAGCCAGCAAAGCAGACCTGCCTGATACAAACTCCAGTTTTGATAGTATATCAATGTAACCATCAATGTGGCATGAATATTCTCAGGCCACTGGCTTTTCCCAGGGGCTCTGAATTAGCACACGACTGTTTAAATTGCACTCATTTCAACACTCTTGACCCGTATGGACTCAATAATTTTTTTCTAAAACAGCCAACACAAACCATATCGTCCGAGGGTATGTAATTACCCCAGTTGTGTACTGAATCCTGAGTCCTTGCAGTATTAGAGTTTACGTCCTGTCCTTAAGTCACAATTGATAAGGATTCTTCTGTATACTCCATCATATGCAGTTACATAACAGAACTAACTCTCTCTCTCCTTAGGTCATGTATGATAGTAAATATTAGAAAAGCTCCTGAGATTTACCTGTTGTAGCAATCCATGGTGGAAAGGTGGTGGTAACACCTGTCAGTGCAATAGAGAACAACATGGAAATGAGGTCTACACACTAATATGGCAAAGGACAGATTCCTATACACAGTAATGTATCAGTATAGCCTTCCTTCCAGCACTGACATTCTCTAGGTCTGGCTCTTTCCTGGGTGCTTTCCGCATGCATACCATGTTAAGAAAAACAGGATGTTATGCTGCCTCA